TTTATTGCTATTTATTAATCATATAATAAATCAATAAATCAGTCTCTCTCTCTCTCTCTCTCTCTCTCTCTCTCTCCCTCTCTCTCTAAAAGTCATCTTATTCAATTACTTGGTTTGAGGGCAACCCAAAAGGACTTTGCTAATAATTCAAGATTATACTAATTCAGTTATTGGCTTAGACACCTAATCCAACAACTCCAACACCTTTTGATCAGTTTGGAGTGTTTTTTGGACCACATGGACTAGGAAACTTATGATCTTTTGCCTTCCCTTTTAGCCATGCAAGTTATCTTGGTTCTTTAGGTCATTTTGGTGCAATAAAGTTTAGATCTTGAAGGATTGTGGCATTATTATAGATAAATTTGGAAACTTTATCCATCTAGACATCTTTTTGATTCAGATATGAAAGTGGGAGACTTGGACTTATTGGATTAAGTTGAGAAAGATACATTTTTGGGTCCCTTTAAGACTGAAAGTCTAGATCTTGGTGGTTTGGACCATCTTAATGGTTAAAGTTGGAAACTTTATCCATTATGAAGCCATTAGGAATCAAATCTAATGTTTTAGCGTTGGTCCTTATGAATTAAGCTCTTTTGAGAAGAAAAGCCTTTCAGAATGAGGACCACGCCGTGGCCAAGGAAGGCCACGAAGTGTTGGCGGGACTAGCGTTTGTTTTGTCTGGACGTGGCCACGGAGTGGTGGCATGTCTGCCACGGCGTGATAGCAAATTTTGATCGGGTCTGGATTGAGTGGCCACGGCATGGCCACGGGTTGGCCACGACGTGGGTATCAATTGGATTGACTTTAATCGTTGACTTTTTGACCAGTTGACTTTTGGTCAACCTTGGGTAGCATGGAGTATTTGTATTTGACTAAGGTCTGGTATTGGTTTGGCTTTAGGAAACTTGGGTTGGCTAATCTATTGCCGAGGTAGATGTGAGCTTCTGTTGAGTAGTTCAAATGAGTCTTCTCAATATATCCATGAGTCGAAGGCACCAATGCTGACCCATTACTTTGTTATGTAGAATGCTATTTGTCTCTGTGATACTTGCATGAAAGACCAAAATCTGGTCCCTGACAATTGTATGAAAGACCAAGATCTGGCCCCTATTGATTATATGAAAAACCAAGATCTGGCCCCTGGCACTCGTATGTAAGACCGAGATTTGGCCCTCGACATTGCAAGGAAATACCATGATTTGGCCCATGGCAGGAAGTGATTGTAAGACTATGATTTGGCCCATAGAATTCACTTTCTTATGTATGATATGTGGTATTTTGGGGAACTCACTAAGCTTTGTGATTACGGTTTATGTTTAAAATGTTTTCAGGTACTTCCGGTTTCAAAAGGAAGGGGTCATCTTGATCGCACTGCATCCCCTGGAGATTATTCCGCAGGTATTGTTTATGATTTTACTCTAATGTTTTGAGAACACTTTTACTTTGATCATCTTTTGGAATAATGAATGAATGGTTTTGACTTGATAAAAATGAAAATTTTTCTTGGCATTTTTGGGACGTTACATTGACAATGATGAACGATGGGTATCAAGGATTCGTAGGTTACGATTGAATATATGTTCCATTTAGATGTTTAAATTAACTTTGATTAAGTTTTTTAGACAAAAAAGATCTTGGTTGAGTTTTGTGAGAGTTCAAGGCTGGAACATTTAATGGATTCGTATGTAGGATGATTCGATGTAAACCAAAGGTGGATGATAGGTTGGTCGGTAGTATCCAAAGTATAATCATAGCTTGCAAGGATCGATTGTTCATGGAGGGAAATGTCGGAAAGATGGTTGGTTGAGGTGACAAATTATGTTATTTTAAGCCCTTTCTCCCTTATGTATTTATTTAGTTAGCGAAGCCCTGCGGTGTCTGATAGCCAGTGATTGGGAGCTCTCGAGTCAGATTTTTGCCCGCTTAATTCCCAGTTTTCATCAATATACTCTGTAAGTTAAGCTACACTTATTATATTCAAGTGTAACTTTTAATTATAGTCATAGTCGTTATTATGAATCTATAATTAAGATTTATCAGTAATTCCAAGTCATTATACTGATTGATTTACTTACAGGGATGTTGTCTAGGTTGGATTTAGTGAGGTGTTTAAAGTGGGATTTCCAAACAGTATACTCTGTATACCAAACGGACCCTACCTCCAATATGATCCTACATGGTTGTTCCTTACTTGATAGATCTTTATGTAGACATCGGGATTAGTGAGGAATCTAGACTATCGTTAGTTGCCATGAATATAAGAATAAGACTTAGTAACATTCGTATCTAGGTCACGTTAGAAGAAAAGTCAAGGAGTTTGGCGGAGCGCTACCAAATTCTCTAGTCACCCACCTAAGTCAGGTGAGTTCATAGTTACTTTCTGCTTACACATAAATACAAGTATTCTAAATGCTTAATTGCTATGTGTGTTGCATTTGTTGTGTTTAATATAGTCGTACAATATGATTGTTACTTGATTTAACCATATATTTATCATACTTAATAATATGATTGGGTAATTGAAGGGTTGTGTTAAATAACAAATCAGAGGTTGTGATAGGGCTATGTGAGATAGTGGTTATGAAAGGTTAGTGAAAGCCATGCAAAATAATAAGTCGTGTCTGCATGTCTATCCCAAGTACTTTTGTACCGATGTGCCTATCCCAAGTACTATTATATTGTCGTGTCTGCAATGACTATCCAAAGTATTAATATATTGTCGTGTTGCCTTATTTACCTGAAGTATTATCATATTGTTGTGCCTAATCACCTAGGAAGTATAGATGTCTGCTGATAAAGGACTTTTAAGAAAGATCCCCCGAGTCATGTTAGGATTAGTAAGTGAGAGTAACGGGAATGTGGTAATTGGGTTATTTGAATGTTGAAGAATATATATATATATATATATATATATAATTAAAGATTATACTATTGTGGGTTGAAAACCCTATGTGCTCACCAGGTTTTCCAACCTGACCCACTTAGTTTCCTTGTATCACAGGTAGCGATACGAAGAAACTGATAAATAATGTAATTATCTGCTAAGAGATTCAAGGATATGTAGATCGTTAGTATATTGAGACTTTGTAAGTTTTCGTTTATGATTATGTTTCTTGTATCAGTTATGACATCCCATGCTTTTAAAATAGAAAATCTTCTGAAATGCCTTGATTTTGATAATATATCTTGCCAAGGATATTTTGGGATTAATTTCGTAACAACAGATGATTTAAATAAGCATAAACAAAAAGTTTTAAAAAGGTCATTAAATGGGGGATGTCACATAAATAATCTTCTATCAAAAAGTCACTTTTAATGCTTATTATCTCTAAATTGACAAGCCCGAATCTGCGGGCGTTACACTTAAGAACCCCTTTTAAGGATTTCTTTATGTCGTATTTACTTAATCCACCCCACCCATTACCGCAAAATCACCCCTCCTTTTATTTATTTTTTCTCTAGAGAACCCTGCACCTACTTCAACCTTTCAAAGTCACAAGGAAAAAAGTGGTACTCAATAGCGATTTCACTTCTACACAACAAGAGGGAATAGTCAACATGAGATTGAGTATGGGTGGCCTTTTGTGAGACGTTATAGAGAGAGAAAGATATGTATGCAAGATGAGACGGAGAGACAGAAGGTAAACTTCAATCCTTTTTTCCAGCAACATCGAAAACAAGAAAAGAAACAAGCGATATCAAGAGATTGGTGCATATGAAGCAAGAATAAATAAGGAATTAATACCATAATCACTTCCTGTTCCCGGCGACATTGGCAATGATGAAGGATAGGTCTCAAGGATTCGTAGATTACGATTGAATGTATGTTCCATTTAGATGTTCGAATTAACTTTGGCTAAGTTTTTTAGACAAAAAAGATCTTGGTTGAGTTTTGTGAGAGTTCAAGGCTGGAACATTCAATGGATTCGCATGTAGGATGATTCGATGTAAACAAAAGGTGGATGATAGGTTGGTCGGTAGTATATAGAGTATAATCATAGCTTGCAAGGGTCGATTGTTCATGGAGGCCAACATCAGAAAGATGGTTGCTTGAGGTAGCAGTTGTAATACCTATTTTCTGTTAATATGTAATATAACTTTGTATGTGTGTAATTTGATGTTATATCGGATAACTAATCAGAACAAGGAGTAAAAGTCATAATTGGAAAATAGGTTGCTATTACTAGCTAGTTTCGGATGGAGAACTAAACCCCCAACAGAGAAAGGGAAAATCTAACTGTCGCATGTCTAAACCCAACCCCGTTATTAGATAAGAAAAACCACAGTGAAACCCTAGCCCCATTATCTGTAGAAATCCTAACACAGTCGACATGTGTTCATCATCAGAATAAAAAATCCATATTTAAATAGCCTCGCTATGTGCGTTTATCTTCTGTTTGTAATGATTGTAGGAGATCAAGACGAAAGTGGTAGTTAGTGGTGTTTCTCTTCACCACCGGTGATGATGGAGAAAATAAAGGGGGCGGGGAAGAGGATATGATGTTGTTAAGGTTAAAGGCAGCAATTAAAAGTGGTGGTGACGATGGTGGCGACTGACTTTAACGTGAGAGAGAAATGGAAGAGGATGATATTTATTTGATTAATAAAAATAACATTAAGAGTATACAAGTCTTTTTATTTGGGTAAGAGACTAACCACGTTAGAAATTGAAACTAATTTTTTTTTCATAAAATTAAAAAAAGGGGTTAGAGATTAAAATCTAGAATTTAAGAAACCACATAGACCATTTATGAAGTTTTATCCGACAAATGAAATAATAAGAACACTGACCACTTATGTTATTTTTATTTTGTCTAAATAATAAGAAAAACTAAAAAAAAAATAAAAAAATAAAAAAATTAAAATAGTCGATTCACATAGGGTTAGAGACAAAATAGACAACAAATCGAAGGACCGGCCGAATAAAATAATTTTTGTAAGGACGAAACCTACAAATTTGATAAACTCACACAGTCACATGGAAATCTTTTGTAATTTACTGTTGACTAAAATAAAATCTAGGACAACAACATTTACGGCTGGAATCAAATATGACTACACAATCAACGAAAATCATGTTTCAAATCATCATTTATACCTAACAAAACCCTGTCTGCCGTCTCCCGCCGTCAACTGTCATCGGAATAATGCTAAACAGGTCATCCCCTCCGATTTAATCTCTATATTTCTAAACTCAAAAAAGAAATGGCAAAGTGTTTCAGTTTCACAGCATCAAGAGACCGGTGTTTCCGGTACTCCTTCAGCCGCACCGGTCTCAAATCAACCACCATCACCCTCCACGACGGCGCCACCGTCATCCACTTCTGGATCCCCAAAACCCCAAAACCCAACAAACCCAATCTCCTCCTCATCCATGGCTTTGGCGCCAACGCAATGTGGCAATACAACGACTTCATCTCTCCACTCGTTTCCAAATTCAACGTCTACATCCCGGACCTTTTATTCTTCGGCGAATCCCACACGACCCGACCCGAACGAACTGAACACTTTCAGGCGGAGTGTCTTATCTCAGCCATGGAAGTCGTTGGTGTTATTGGGAAGATTCACGTGATGGGGCTGAGCTACGGTGGGTTTGTGGGGTATAGTATGGCGGCGAAGTTCCCGGAGAAAGTGCAGAAGGTGGTGATCGCTTGTTCTGGTGTTTGTGTCGAGGAAAGTGACATGGATAAAGGGTTGCTTAGTGTGAAGAGTATTGATGATGCTACAAGTATTTTGTTGGCTCAGACGCCGGAAAAGTTGAGGGAGTTGATGAAGGTGGCGTTCTTTAAACCTCCGGTGAATGTCCCTTCTTGCTTTTTATCTGATTTTATTGATGTCATGAACACAGAGTATGTTCAAGAACGTAAAGAATTGATTGAAGCGTTATATAAAGGTCGAAAAGTGTCTAATCTTCCAAAGATCACTCAGGTTCATTCATATTCTTAACTCCTATACATTCAATCTGTTTATTGGACAGAAATAGACAATTTTTGAGTTATTTTCATGGTCAAGTAACGAGGGTATTTATGTCTTTTTGTGTTAATGGCTATCTTGTTTTGAAGTTTTGGAATGGAATAATAATTGCAATTTGACATTAATACCTCTCCATGTCACAAAAATTGCAATTGGTCTACTCTTTGGTCCCATACACTATTAAATGCATGTATGTCATGGCTTGTATACTTTGCTTGTATACTGTCATGTCATATCTTGTATGCTTTTGTTATGTTATGGCTTGTATACTTTGCTTGTATAATGTCATGTCATATCTTGTATGTTTCTGTTATGTTATGGCTTGTATACTTTGCTTGTATATTGTCATGTCATATCTTGTATATTGTCATGTCATATCTTGTATGTTGTCATGTCATGGTTTGTATACTTTGCTTGTATACTGTCATGTCATATCTTGTATGTTGTCATGTCATGGCTTGTCTTGTATGTTGTCATGGCTTGTCTTGTATACTGTCATGTCATATCTTGTATGCTTTTATATTCGGTCATGTCACAAAGATAGCCTCCCAACAAAATAGTTGTCCTCCTTGTTAAGGTGCAAAAGTTTGAATTTTTTTATATTATTAACGTTAATTGTCCATTGTTTTCTATGTTGTGTTGTATAACAAAAAGGCTTTAAAATTGTCGATTAACCTCGTTTGAATCTATGATGCAGCATACGTTGATCATATGGGGAGAGCACGATAAAATATTCCCAATTGAATTAGGTCACAGGCTAAAACAGTATGCATGAATCATAACCTCAACATCTTTCAAGTTTAATTGTTTTCATAACGATTCCAAAACTCATGTGATTTCATTTCTTGTTTTCTTCAGACATTTAGGAGAAAACGCGGATTTTATAATCTTGAAGAACGCCGGACATGCAATCAATGCCGAGAAACCAAAAGAACTCTACAAAAACATGAAATCATTCTTCACTGTTCCCATTACACAAAGCACACAGTAGTGTCTTTTACAGTAAGAAGATGAGAATCTATAAGGAAATCTCAGGTGACATCAGTCAGATGTCATTGTGGTTTACCTTTCCCATGTTGGTTGTGGGACCGGTTGGTGAGGCTGAGACTGTATGTATACCCATTTTTTAGAGCACAGAGGAGATTTAAAAAAAGGGTTTGTTTGTAAACTTATATATATCTACATTCTTGATACATTTTCTTTACAAATAATTCCCGATAATATTAATAGAAATGTGTATTTTGTATCATAATGTAAAATTCTAGGCAGCAACCACATTTTCTAGCAACTCCTCCAAGTCTTTTAATCTGAATAATAAACATATGCAACAAGTTAGTTTCACCGGATTTAAAAGAAATTATAAATTCCCTTATAAAAATATCTATTCTTTTATAAAAATACAATGATGTAGTTGAATATGGAATGTGGGACCCATACCTTACGTCACTCAAATCAGGGAATTTTGCTATTGCATCTGTAAAGTCTTGGTTTGCAGTTGAAGATGTGTAGGTAATCACACAAGACATTCCTGCTTTTGTTGCTGCCTGGACATGAGGATGATGAGGACATTTACGTCTTTTAATTAATCTGTTTTTTTTTAATAAATTATTGTAAATATGAATATATGGCAAATGGTTGACCTGTAGACCAATGACACTGTCCTCCACCACCAAGCAAGCTTTCTCAGAAACACCTAGTTTCTAAAATACACCGGGCAATTTTTAATGATTAAGATGAGAAGGGCATTTACGTCTTTTGCACATATGACAGATCGAGAGTGAGTCAATATTGCCATCATTTTGGATGAGAAAAAAGAGAAGAAAAGTTTTGTCTCATTTAAATCAGTCTCATTCTCAGTCCAATACATGTCAAACACAGTATAAATTAGTCAGTACTTGGTGATTATTACCTTGGAGGCTGTGATATATATAGAAGGGTCAGGCTTCTTTTCCTTCACATCATCACCTACAAAATAACCATTTAATAGAACCCTATTATGATCTCTCAACATGCAACAAGATTATAGTTGATAATTTATTTTTATTATAACGTATAAATATACCTGCAAGAAAGCAATCAAGACCTTGGAATCGTTCCTGAAGTAAGAGGAAAGGTCACAATATAAAAAACATGCCATTGAAGAACAATGTAAATGATGATTGTTAATAATTAAATCCCAAAAAGTAAATAGGAAGTTGGGTTTACCATTCCAATAAGATTCTCTAAACAAAGAATAACTGAGCTTTTGGTTGCAGCAGAACATACAGCAACCTTTTTACCCTGGAGTTTAATAAAATAATTAAGTGAAATAATCAAGAAACATCAATGTCACAATACAAAGAAAACCCTAAGAGATCATATTAGGGTTCGATTACTATCTTACAGAAGCTCTGGCCTCATCCATTAATCTTAGGACACCTGGTCTGGGCTCAACCTGTTGTTGAAGATGGAAAGATTAAGCAGATTATACAACAAAAAACAATCATATATACATATATAAACATCAGAACAAAAGGTTAGTTCTTACACTTCCGGATTTGATTATATCCTTGTACGTTTCAGTCTTCCAATCCTACGAACACCAAAATAAGTAGTTGAGTTGAGTTTCAATTGCTTAGCAAATAACATTTCGTCTACAATTGTTGATCGATTACACCTGAAGAGTGTCAATTAAATTTGCCCTATCGATGTCACTTTCAGGAGGCGTGTCAAAGAGTGTTGAAGAAGGCCAACCATTCTCCTTAAAATACCTGATCACGTTAGTGCGATTTCTGTCACAGATTCTCAATTAGCATAACGAAAAGAAAAATAAAGAGGATAGCGAGAGAGATAACCAGCGCATTTTAGGTTTACCACCACCGACTTGGTTCTGAAGGACGTCGTAGAATTCAATATCCCAAATGAGAGGTTCAGAGAAGGGAGGGCAACGGACATTGAAGTGAGCGAAAGCCAGATTGTAAGCTTGGCGGTGTAAGTCTTCGGATTCGAGAATAACGCCGTCGCAATCGAATATTAGAGCTTCCATTGCCCGTGATGAAGCGGAAATTGGGCGTGATGATGATCTGGTTGAAGTAGAATAAGAAGAGAAATAAGGGATACGACGGAGAGAAGTGGTGGTTTTGTGGAGAGAAAAGAGGGGCATGTGGTGGCGAGTAGTGGTGGGAGGGCAGAGGAGAACCATGGCGTTGGACGCCATTGATGATTAACTTGTGGGAGTAACTTTATCTCATATGCCACAAGGTATGAAGTATGTGTTCGTTGTGGCGGGTTATGTTCTTGTGGCTGCGCAATGGGGTGGGAGTTTGGCGTTTTAAAATTAAATTGTTTTTTTTTTTGGGATAAATAAATAATTGTATTATTTAATTTGTTTGTATAATAAAAATTAAAGTAAATTACATGAGTTTACTTAGGCTATTCTCATTACCAATACCACCCAACCCAACTTTTCAATAAAAAATAATATATATATCTTCAATCTATACAATTCAACCCAATCTAATTATTTACATCCATTAACAACCAAACTCAACCCATTTTATATTAAAATTTTATATTTATAAAATTATATCAATATTGGTCTTATTTTGTAGAGAAAAATAAATTAGGTATTTTAATATATTTTATTTTATTTTATATTAAACATTAACTTTATATATTAACAAAAGTTAATTTTTGATATAAAAGTAATTGCACATGTGACCATATACTTCATTACAATCTAAGCCGAGCAAGGTTGTGGGCGCGAACTAGATCACAAAGGATTGCCACATTCTTATTTTTTTAATATATTTTTTTCTATGAGCCGTTCACAGTAAGCCTCCAATGGGTATAGTCTTATGTTTCTCTAGGATTACTTGGATACGTGGCCAATTTATGAATTTTGCAAGTTACCGTTTCTGGTAAAACTTTGGCAATACCTTGTTATGGGTTGAGGTAAGTCGACAACTCGTCGGCTGCAGGCAATTCTACTCCGATCTTTGCACTTCTCATATTTTCCGACACACAAACTTCGGCACCTGCTAGATATCACATTGTCTCTATAATTTATATCCTTTCCCCGTAGGCCCATAGCCATATATTCCATTTTCCTAGTGTCCTACGCCTTAACACTACCACTCCAACTGCACTTTCTTCTTTTCGGACACAAACAACCACTCGCCTGTCTGCTTCGCCGAGACAACCATCCACCACATCAATTCTACTCCGCCCCTCTTACTAACAAAGTTTTGTCGTTTTTATCTCTCATCCGCCTACATACTTTAGATTCGGCAACGAAGGCCTCAACATTTTACATTTTCAATTTTTAATTTCCGGCAAGCCCCTTTCGGTATCACACTCATTGCATGTTCTAACTTTTAACTTTCCTTCTTGACTTTCTACTTTGAGTTTCTAAAATTTTAATCTAACAATATAAAATATCATCTACAAATATTATTGCATGTTTAACCCCTGTTTGAATCCTCATTTGCTTTTTCTTTTTGAGACAGACATATATTTCATTTCTTATAAATTTCGAGTGTGACAACAAAACAAACCATCAATGATCATTTTAAAGAGGTTAGAATGATATTATAACAACCATAGGGTGTTTATAAATAACAACATTTGTAGCCTTTGGACCCTCTTGGATTTGGGGTATTGAAGTAGATGTCAAAGAACAAGAAGCTTGATCTTCTCTATAAGTAATCCACCAACAAGAATAAGGTACCAAAATTGCTAGATTTCTTCTTATACAACTTTGTTCTTTAAGCCTTAAGTGCTTAAACAATTAAGCACTAAAAGGAAGACACAAAATAAACACCAAAAGCAAGTAATGTCTTCAAAAGAGGAAAGAGAGCTTACGGTTTTGAGAGAAAGAAGAAAGGAGAAGAAGTTTTTGGACCAAAAACTAGCACATTCTTCATGTAAGAGACCCTCTATTTATAACCCCATCCAAACATGGTCTCTTGAATATTATATTCAAAAGAATGGGCTATAAAGGGAGGCATGGGGAACATTATGATGGAGGTTGACAAGCAACCTCCATGCTCCTTACAACTTTCGGCCATATGGCCTTTATTATATAAATAATGTTCACTAGTCCTTTAACCATGGTAGAGTAAGCATTTGATTTAATCATGGTTAACCAAATGTCCAAAACTTTATACATGACTTATTATATGATACCTTATCATGTAAAGACTATTTTTCTACTTCTTACAATATTGTTTTCATAGAACAATAATTTTTCTCTAATTAAATACAAAGAGTTGAATTTATTGTTAATATCAAATATATAATAAATATTCAATAAGTACCAACTTGATTAAGGTGTGACCCTATAGGATCATATGTCATTAGCAATGTCACTCAATAATGATTCTTGGACATATAGATCCAACAAAATGTTGTAATGATTTCGAATTCCAAACCCAAAATTGTTGAAGATTCTCAAAATCATTATGAAGATAAATGTTAGATCTTGGAGAAATGAGAAGAAATTCCATGGATGGTACAACGTGCATCGTGGGTGGTACAATGTGCAATTTGGAGATTTCTTAATTCCAACCAAGGAACCAAGATCTTCCATGATCAATTCGTGCATTGCAAATGGGAAAAAGATTTTCAAGAAGGTATCTCAAATTCTTAATAAAAAATGGATTCCTAAAAGTTCATGTTGATACTATTGTTTTTGAAGATCCGATGATGAACGAAGGTTTTCTAGAAATTTAAAATCAATCATATTTTCAATTCGTGCTTTCGTTATTGATTTTTGATCGTTTTGACTCGATCTTATTTGTTTCAACCCGATTGCTATGATCCAACACATTTTTATAGATCAAGCCCAAAATCAAAGTTTCTATTTATTTAATCCATTCATTGAAAGCCCTAAATAATTTTTTTTGTTCTTTTAATCCAAAATTCGAGTCCATTCTAATTTCTCGATACTATTCATCATTTAACCCAATTTGAAATCAATTGATAAAAGCTTGGGAACAAAGAAGGTTCAAAGCTTGAGTTCGACTGGTATGGACTTTAAATTTCAGAGCCTTTAGTATCGAACACTTTTGATTTTGATTTTGATTTCAATTGGTGTTTCCTTTGAAACGAATGTTAATATTAGGAGTTGTACGCCTGAAATCGATTGTGATACGGTGGAGTCAAACTGAAAAGTCAAATTGTTGATTTCAATGATTTGAAAATCGATGTTTTGGAAATTGGAAGTCCAGACTCAAGAATCGAAAGTAATTCAAACTTGATTTCGATGTTCTGAGGTTGTACATCGAAAATTTTACAGTGAAAGTAGATTGTAGTTGGAACGAATTGAAGCACGCGGTGTTGTTGATTTGACTTTCTGCAATAGCTGAGATACTCGAATCGAATGGTTAAAATCGGTTAGAATGGAGTCTCGCCAGTTGTTCTCGATTGGGAAGGCTAATAATCGAAAGCATATAAAGAAATCTCGATTTGGATTTACTTGGAGTCGAAAGTAAGGACTTTCGACTGATGATGCTCATTCTTATGACCGGAAATTTTGCAATCGAGTCCCATTATTGAATTGAATCGATTGGTGTTTCTTGGAGTCGAATGGGATTTCAATGTTGATTATTTTCTAATCAATAGTGATACAACATATGGAGTCAAAAGTGGTTCTTGAATTGAAAGTGAAAGCACACCAATCAAACGTGAGGACTTAATGGAAGTCAATGTCAAGTCGAAATTGAAGACTTGGAGTCGAAAGCTGGTCGATTTGGCCTTGATTTGTGAGTCAAAAGCGTTTGGAGTTGATTTCGATGATATTGTTTAAAATTCGAGTTGTTGCTATATGTACGTAACGAGTGGGTGAAACTCGTACTCGATTGATGTTGATTGGTATCGATTATGATAGTTGTGAATATCAATTTTAGGATGAAGGGTCGAAAGTCTTTGATTCGACTATTGGTGTTTTGAGAGAAAATTGGTATAGTAGCTTCTAATTATATTTCTCTCATACTTAAATAACGTGCAGAGTACAAAGCTTTTATATAGGGAAAAAGATAACAATGACCTAGCTAACTTTAAGCTATTTCTACTCAAAAGATAGAGATGACAATTAATTGAAAAAATAGATAATGACTGCAAGTTGGATAATCGGTTCCTTTACTCCCCCTCAAGTTGGAGCATGCAAATTTCTAATGCCCAACTTGACCAATAATGAGCATAAACGTTGTGAACCAAGTGCTTTGGTTAGCAAGTCAACTATCTGATCACGGGTGTCAATCCACACTGGTGTAATCTCCTTTGACTCGACTCGTTCTCGTAAAAAATAGCAATCAATTTCCACGTGTTTTGTTCTTTCATGAAAGACGGGGTTATATTGTCACACCCCCAAACCAGAATGGCGGAAACATTCGGGGGGCGGATGACTTCACGTAGTATCATAACAGTTGAATATTTGTAAAGAAAGTAAACTCAACCATCATAAATATAATAAAAAGTTACATTGTTGCATGTAATACATGTTTCAAAAGAATATTACAAATATGATGATTTAAAATGTTTTGATAACTGACGTCTTAGCGTTCCTTTTCCAAAAAGCTGATGTTTACCTGTATTACTGATTCCCTGAGAAATACAAGTAGTTTTGAAAAAGTGTCAACAATTAAGTTGGTGAGTCCATAAGCGTTTTTGTACATAAAATTTGTATGTCTTTCGGTAAAAATAACTGAACGTGTTTTCCAGAAAATCCAATATTTTCTATGTATGTGTGATAGTTTGAAAAAGTTCCAAAGGCTGGAATGCAATAGTATCTTTCATGCTCAAATGGTGAAAGTGGATTTATACATAAAGAATGTAATTACTGAATGCATTTAAGCGTCTCGTAAATCAAAATATTTCGATACTCTATGTGAGTTTTATAACCATGCTATTGACCTAGGCTGCCTGTAACAACGTTCTTCAGGCGTTGCAGTGTTATGACGTTTGTCACCCCAGACCTGCCGGTCTAACTGTAGCTAACAGTTTAGGTGCGGGATTGTCAATCCCGTATAGATCTATACACAAGTATCACACTCTCCCTACAAGAGATTATGGTTTATAATGCAGGACTTGAAATGCGTACTTGAGAGTACGGTGAAGTCGGATGTCTCACAAAACTTAGTATCAATAGATTTATGGAATGAAAAGTCCACGTTTCTTGTAAACGAAAGTATTTCCTTTTTACAGTGTTTATGTAAAGATGTCATGAATAACTCGTAAACTATACCCATTATAGTTTTTCAAAAGTGTGTTCCATTTGGTGATAAAAACTTGATGTAATACCAACTTTGCATGTAAAGTGT